CATTTCAACCTCAATGATAATGCACTAGGCCTAATGGATTTAGATATTTGAAATCTGGTTCGGATTCTTCACCTGTTTTCCAATGTTTTCAATACTTCAAAGTAAGTTGGTTATTTAATATTTGATATAATTTCTACATATTAGCTACATTAATTTCCAGTTCAGACCTCAGCTCAGACTCTTCAGTCATAGAGTCTCCAGTCTCCTCCAAAAATAAAAGTACCTAGTGTAAGTTGGTTTGTAATAACAAAAAATATTGAATTATTGCTTATATTATGCAGACTACAAAAAATGAATTGGAATGATTTTATAATCCAGAAAGAAGATACAAAATATTATCCTGATTAAAAAGGTTATGTGATTTTAACTAGTTCAGTTTCCAAGCTCAAAATTCAATATTTGTCAGATAGGGCAAAAACACTTATTAAATCATTTTAGATTCCAAGGACTGAATATGTATCCTTATGTTCCTCCAGGCCTGTGGTTGAAATCGTTAATCGGGAGAGTCATGTGTTTGACAAGAAAGTTCTTTCTGGAGGGTTCGTATTTTTCATTTGTGTATAGGATGCTACATAGAATTTTATTGGGTTTTGAGATAAAAAAGAGTCAGTGGTAATCATATATGTGCCCCACCTACTTCTTAAAACAAGGGATTGCTCCGTTATAATTTTTTCTTTTTAGAATTTTTGATGCTCCGATTACTTTCAAATGCCTGACAGTGCTCTCTCAGTCCTCATCAATTACCTCAACAGTTTCAGAAACTGAGGAACAAATATTGAAGAATGTAGTCTCATAGCCAGACGTAGGGAGCCTTTTTTTGTATTATTTTGTAATGTAATATGAATTTGATTGATCTAACACTGCTGTATTTATTTCATTTTAGATAGTAGACCTAATTCCTAAGATCTGTATCGAAAAGATTTATTGATCAAAAGTTCCCCAAAATCTGTTTTCATGTTTCTGCTAATAAAGTAGAATTTTTTTTTTTAATTTGCTTAATTTTTGTCACTAAATAGAAATATTTCCACCATTTAACCTTCCTTCCGCACGCCTATGATCATTCAGGTGGAAAGCTTTCTAACAAAGCGGCATTGAAATCCTTTAGAAAATAGCTATTTATATAACAAGTACATAAAGTAAGGCTTTATTGTACGAATAATTTTATGGCCGAGCGAGCTTGCGAGCGAGGCTATTAAATAATGAGTCAATAAAGCCTGTTTATGTAAGCGTTATATACATGACTTTATGTACGATTGCGACTGATTTTTGTTAAAAATTAAAAAAATTTAATGAAAAAAGTAAAATTCGCGTAGGTATATCTGTTTCACCTTGGCAAGTTGTCAGGACCTGTTTCACCTTGGCAAGTTGTCAGGACCTGTTTCACCTTGTTAGGTTATCCAGGTAGGCAATAAAGTAGCACTTTATTTTACTAGTAAAATAAAGTAGCACTTTATTTTACTAGTACAATAAAGTGCTACTTTATTGACGCAAAACTGTTCTATAAATAACACTTTATTGGTCAATCGGACATAAAATACATTTATGTCATACCAATACATTATTGTGTTTTTATACCTTAGATACCATCTACATAATTCATTACTTTATGCCCGTGCGGGCATAAAGTACACATTATGGCCCGCGCGGGCATAAAGACGCAAAAAACAGTTTTCAATCAACTTATTCTTTATTAACAAAATATAAATTTACGCTGATAAATATATTATTTTTGCCAAAAAAATTATGATGTTTGCACTCTGATGACAATTTGCGAAGTGACACTTTTTTCCCAGGTATTTATTATTCACAACCAACTGGTATGACATAAAATTTTGTATGCACCACGGGTACTAATAGATATATATACCCTCGGGCGACTTACGAACCCTCGGGCCAGAGGCCCTCGGTTTTGTAAGACTGTCGCCCTCAGGGCATAATCATCTACTTAGTACCCTTGATACATAAATAACTATTTTCCCTAAATTTAAGGAAATTTCGGCTTAGAATGGGCGTTGTCAATGGCATACAAACAATAACGTATTTATGATTGCTATGCTCACTCTATAGTTTTTAATTCCTCTGAGTTTCAAAATAAAGCTAGCTGTAATAAGGCAACTACCTTATTTAAATAGCGCTTCACCTAAACGCGGCTCGGAAAAAACAGTTATTGTTCACGATCACGAACACGTCAAGATACGGCTGTTCCTTAAATCTATTTCTAACCTTACTTTACTTACTGACAGCTATGCTTTGCTGACAAATTTCAAAAATCCGTCAAAATAAGGGCAAATTATATTATTAGTGCGTGACTTTATTCCTGCAGTAATAAAGTCTAGCACAAACGTTAATAAAACTAGCCTTATTCAATGGCGCAACTGCGCAAGCGCAGATGTCAATATAGCGTTTGCATTATTACTGCTGGACCTTATTTCACTTCCAATAACTCTCTATTGTAAAATTGTGCTTTCAAATATTAGAAAAAGCTTGTGTTGCCAACATAGGCCGAGTATAGTCTGGCAAGTGGTAACTTGGTAGAGACGAAAGGGGGAAGAAAAGTGGGGCGTAACCTAAAGATATTCACTGACACCTTAACTGACACCGCCTGATGACAGACATGTCTTTGAGTTCAGTGCCACCGAAAACACCAAGGAAATAAACCAATAAAAATATTAGAAAAAAAACTGTAGTTTCGCCGATAACCACGCCACTGCGTGCTGTCATTCAGGCTCTAACCAATAGAATCATGCCTCTGTATAATCACGCCTCTCCACATCCATCCTTTCGCAATGTTGCCGGATTTTTTTCTATTTCAAAATATTATACAGTCCTATACAGTGAGGGGCAAGCTACTAGGTATATAGGATGTAACCTGACGAATTTGCAGACGTCCGCATGTCAGAAAATGACAAATCGATTTAGCGCTAAGTCTTGACTGAATGGATCTTGCAATGACATCTTGTCACTCTTGTCTTCTGCTTGAGGATAACCTGGCGAAAACCAGGAAAAAATGTTCTACGGTTGTTAATAATTTTCAAAAATATGGTTGCATTTCTCCCCGAAACCATTAACAAAATGACATCCAGGAAAATAATGGGGATCAGAAAGCCAAATAAATTATGTTGTTGGTTGTTGGCATTAGATAACGAAACTCCAACTATTTCGACTCGACTCGACGAGATTCACTCAAGTACAAGGACGGTGAGGAGCCACAGAAAAAAAATAAGTATCGTCCATACAAAGTACGAAACTCCCAAAAAATTAATCCTGAGGACATCAGGCGAATGGAGTTTTGTGAAACTGTCATTAATAAGGGAAATGAAAATGAAGATTTTCTTAGAAAAATTGTCTTTACAGATAAGTTGTCATTTCAACTCCACGGTCGACATAATCCGAGTCACACCCGTTATTGGTCTAAGGAGAATTTACACAGCGAACTTAGAGCCCAGCGTCGTCAGAAAGTAACTGTCTGGAGTGGTTTGTATGAGCCATCATTGACGCTAACTTAACTAGTCCAAAATATTTGGATCTTTTGCAATAATTGAAAGATTATCTGGTCCTAGATTTAGATAATGAAATATGATTTCGACAAGATGGGTGTCCAGCCCATAATACGGGTTTCATTCTGGACCATTTGAATAATACTTTTCCAAACCGTCTCATTGCTGTGTCGAGACCTACAATACTGTGACGCTCTCCCGATCTTGCACCCAACGATTATTTTCTCTGGGGTTATTGCAAATCAAAAATGTATGGTTTTCAGGAGAATTGCGCCGTGAACCTTGAGCAGCTGCGTTTCAAAATTCGAGAAATATACCTAACTGTCACCCCTGTGATGCTAAATAATTTTCGTAGAGCCTTGATCGTTTAGGTCATTGTTTAGTTCAAGAAGGTGGACTGGGACTGTTTGAACATTTGCTACTTCGAAAAAAAATCTATCTTGATACACGCCTTTTAATTATAAGTAAGTGAAGCTCGACGATACATCTAAAAGCACGGTCAAGATGCTACGTTTTGCATAACGTTTTGTCTGCACAGTCCAACACGTGATCAGGTATCAGTAACGTCGTGTCTGGACCGGGCTTAAGTCTGTAAAATCATAAAACGTACTAATGTGAACCATGGTTTATGAACAAACTCAACGAACGTCAAAGTCATCGAAACAACGACAGCGGACCGACAGCGACAGGTGTTCAAACGGCTGCGGACGATCGTAAATTCGTCAAGTTGGATCCTATATACCTAGTAGCCTGCCCCTTACTGTATAGCAACAAAAATATGTCACCAACTTAATTATTATTATTTCCGTCAAGTTTGGCAAAGCAGCAAATTCTATTGGAGTTCGCCGTTTCGCTAGCCAGACAATACATTATTGTCATATTTTTCGTCGATTTGCTTTCTGCTCCGAAATTTTGACAGGCACGTGACTAGAGCTGTATTCTCAACGGTGGAACTGGTTCGACCCGGTTCAATTAGGTTCGAACCTGAACATTCTTGCGCTGAACCAGTGACGTCACATTGAACCTGGTTCAAAAAAGTTCGAACCGGACTCATGGCTTGTTCTCCGTTGACATAAGACTGTGGTTCAAACCTTCCATTTTCTCGCGTTCACAAGTGATGACGTCATCTACAAATTGGTTTAAACCGTAGTTCGAACCATTCGCCCCGCGAAAAAACGCCTTAGATGCCCTCGTTAATAAATTTTTGATCTGACGGGAATTATCGTTAAAAAAAAACAGACTTTACCATTCTCGGTCTTCAACCGCCTTGAGATTTTGGGTGATTTACGAATTGATTTTTAAAGAACAAGTCCCTATACACTATTCGCGAATCACGCATCGCGCATTGCGAATATGCGCATAGTCTATAGCGAGCTTCAATGAAATCGATTTCGCGATAAATTCAAGTCAACGTTGCCATGGCTAACCATAGCAACAAAAAAACAAATAAATTTTTCCTTCATTTTTTTCAATCCCCTTTCAAAAAAAACACCCATTTTTTTTCTCTCTAATAGGTTTATTTGAACATTTTAAAAATAATGGCTTTGGATTTTCGACGGGAATGGGTCAAAAATACCGTGACGCGAGTGTTCGGCCTGAACTCGGACCATTACTTCGAGGACATGATGGCCAGCAACGAAGAGCTGGAAGACAAACTGTCCTGCTACCTCGAGGACGATCTGTTGGACCAGGAACTGGACACTACAAATAATAGATTTTTCTACGTGTACAGGAACTCGTTTGAAAAATTGATCGAGAAAGAAATCTTGGTTCCTCAAATTGGTAAGTGATTTTTTTTTCTTATAAAAAAGAATTTCTTACCTAATTAAGTATTCGAATCAAAATCAAAACCTTATAAGTAATTTTTGGAGTCAAATTTTCAAATTATTGGGGTGTTTGTTTGTCACTCGTAGATACAGTTGCCATAGCGAAAATAAATAAAGATGATGCTATTTTGACTTTTTTTTATAGGCAAGTCTCGGACGTGCAGTGTTGGTAAATCGGTGTAGTTGAAATTCCCCATACTACGAGCGCAAGCAAAAAAGTCCCTAGATTGGTATAAAAATCCCTAGTTTCAGATTATATTCGATTTCCAGTACGGGGGAATCCCGCATTCGAACCTAAAACTATTTAAAAATATCAACAAGTACCTACATATACCGGGTGTCTACGAGATTAGTTTCGCGCTGGTATTTGCTGGGTTTTTTTTCAATAACAAAGATTTTTGGTATAGAGTATAGGTTTCAGAAATATCATTTTTTGACACATGTGTCAATGTTTGGTAACTCCCGGTTTGATTGGAAATGGCCCTAACTTCGTAATTTCGAATGGCATCCCAAGAATTTTTTCGCATTTTTGGGATCTGTGGATCTTGATGTGTATGAAAACGTCAAATTTGAACATTAAGAATTCTGGATCAAAATTTATTTTTGAATAGAATGTGACAGAATGGCCTTTAAACTGTTTTTTTCAACTCACACGATCGTAGAAAAATGCGAATGCCAAGTTGTTATCCTTTGTTTGTTCTCCAAAGGCTTCCAAAGTTGAAAAAATCACATTTTACGTGATAACTCAATGAAATCAGTGAAATCACCAAACTTTCACAACAAGAGATTTTTTCCTTTTTTAAAATGAAATCAACTATGCATTAAAACTTTCCATTTATGCCAACTACTACTTATAAATGAACCCCTGTATGAAAAAACGCTGTCTAAAAGGAGCTGGTGGTCTTTATTTACTTGTCAAGCCATTGACAAGATCTATGGACAAGATCTGTTTGTTTGCATAGACATTTGTCATTGTTTGGCATCTCGGGAATTTGTAAATACAAAGTTTGAATACAGGGGCTCATTTATAAGTAGTTTTATCTTATCATTTATAGTAGCGCATAATAAAAATAATTTAAAAATAATTAAAAACTGGCATAAATGAAAAGTTTCAATGCATAGTTAGTTTTATTATGAAAAAGGTGAAAAACTCTTGTTGTGAAAGTTGGGTGATTTCACTGATTTCATTGAGATATCACGTAAAATGTGATTTTTACAACTTTGGAAGCTTTTGGAGAACAAGCAAAGAATAACAACATGGCATTCGTATTTTTCTACGATTGTGTGAGTCGAAAAAAACAATTTTAAGACCATTCTGTCACTTCCTATTCAAAAATAAATTTTGATCAAGAACTCTAAAATTTCTTCAAAAATGTTCAAATTTGACGTTTTCATACACATCATGATCCGCAGATCCCAAAAATGCGAAAAAATTCTTGGGATGCCATTCGAAATTACGAAGTTAGGGCCATTTCCAATCAAACCGGAAGTTACCAAACATTGACACATATGTCAAAAGATGACATTTCTCAAAATTATAGTCTATACCAAAAATCTTTGCCATTGAAAAAAAAACCCAGCAAATGCCAGCGCGAAACTAATCTCGTAGACACCCGGTATATACAAAAGTAGATGAACCTAAAATGTGAAAAAAAAAATTAGACGACCTTGTGTTCAGTACAAAATATTTACTCCGTATATTTCTCTATTTATACGCGTTAGAAAGAGATATTCGATCTATGCAAGCAACCTGCAATGGAAATTGTTTTTCTTTTCTCTCTCTAACATATTGTAGGTACCTACTAAGGCCCAGTTCTACAGGGTGTCCGAGTTTGGATAGTTTTAATAGGAAACATCAATCTCTGAGCAAGATACAAAAAAATGAACCCCCCACTCCGAGGCCCAAATTTCTTGAAATTTTGATTGGTGCAAACCGCATTTTGATATCTTCAACCGTTTAGCCGCTAGAGGGCGATTCTCGATTTTGAGCAATAATGCGAAACCATCATAACTTTTTTGTTTATGAAAATTATTGATTTCCATAAAAACTTTCAGAAGCACTTTTTCAAGCAGAATTCAATGACGTTCTCAGTTTTTTTCTAGTTAGTCCCAACTCCGAGATATTGACCAAAGTCTGGTTTTTTTCCATAGGACACTCTATATATTAATAGCTAGCTCATTCGAAAGCTCGGCTTTTTCTGATTTCAATGATAAAAGTTCGATAGGTTTATCTCTAATAGTTTTCGAGAAAAAAAATATTTTCGGTTTTTGTCATAAGAAGCAATGATAAACCTATCGAAATTTGTATCATTGAAATCAGCAAAAGCAGAGCTTTCTAAGAGCTATTAATATAGAGGGTGTTCCATTGAAAAAAATCGTATTTTGATGAATATCTTGAAATGGAGGCCCAATAGAAAAAAACTGAAAACGTCACTGAATTCTGCTTGAAAAAGTGCTTCTAGGAAGTTTTTACGGAAATCAGTTATTTTCATAAACAAAAAAGTTATGAAGATTTCACAGTATTGCTCGAAATCGAAAATCGCCCTCTAGCGGCTAAACGGTTGAAGATATTAAAATGCGGTTTGCACCAATCAAAATTTCAAGAAACCTGAGCCTCGGAGTGGGGGTTCATTTTTTTGTATCTCGCTCAGAAATTGACGTTTCCTATTAAAACCATCCAAATTCGGACACCCTGTACAATCTCGGTTCAAAACAAAGTTCAACTAAACCCGACATAAAACTGGTGCGCATTCTCCTATTAGGATATTTGTGTAAATCGACCTTTTTTATCACCTCAACAATGACAAAAAGAGTCAAGTCAGTGTCATATTTAAACCAATCATAACATAAAAATATGTTGCATTTACTTTTGTTCACCTGGACGGCGATTCTCGAATCGTGTGATCTCTGTTCTCATAGGAAAAGTACGCTAGGTTTCTATTAAAATCTATTACGACGTATTCTCGAAATTAGGGACCGTTCACTTCCTATGAAAGTTGAGAGAATTTTATTCTACTACTTTTTTTGAAGAGAACGTCTGTTCTCGGGAGAACCAAACGTCCAACATGCGCTTTATTTTGTCAATTGTGCAGTCATCATCCATGGTATTTTTTTGTTTCTTTTGCAAATCATTTATTTATTATCAGTAATTGCCAATTGGGTGCATTTGGATATTGTGTTCAAGTGGAAAATACTGTCCAATACGAAAACGTAGGAAACCATGAAAGCTGGGGTTATAGGAAGAATTCTTGTAAACTCTGTCTAACGAAAGTTGAACGTTGAAGGTCACTTACTCATCTTTGTAACCATAGGATTCACACGTTCGGACCTTTTTTGGTTTGATAAACACAGTGCGCGTGCAATAAAGACAGCAGCAAGAATCATGTCTGTGATATATTCGAGTAAGTGACCTTCAACGTTCAACTTTGGTTAGACAGAGTTTACTGAATGATCTACTAGATGCAGAAGAAGAAGAAAGGCATATAAGCAGATTTTACAGAAGAGAAAATCCCTTTGATTTAACGGATAAGAAATTTGTAAAACTCTTTTGATTAGGCAAAGATCTTTTTCGAAATTTAATTGAGTTAACGACACCTTTTATACGGGCTTCAACTAGAACTTTATCAATAAAAACTGTGGTTAAATCGGAGGTAAATTTTCCACTTTGAAGTTTCTCATTCTGCCTTATGAGCATTTCTTTTGGAGTATGATTTATAGGTGAAAATCTTGATTTTTCCAAATGCATTTTCCACATGAACCAAACAACACGAAATAAAAATTGTAGGTAAATAGGTTTTTGACGTGTTGGAACAGACCTATTCCAACACGTCAAAAACCGTCCCATGAACGGTTCCGAAACCACTCAGTGAACGAATTTTGGTTTCTACGCACAAATTTTACGCTTTGCGCAGAATCGTGACGGTGCATTGTACGGTTTCCTGCTGTGTTGGAATAGACCTGATTAAAGACACTTTAATTAAGTTGGACCAAACACGTTAACGTAATCTTTAAACGTAAACCCTATTTTTAACTGTAGCGTTGAGTGACCGTCGGTGCTCACAAATCAGTTTAAGTTAAATTTTCACGTAAACGTTAACGTTATACCTCACAATCATGACCTAACCTCTAAATTTTGTTCTGGAAAGGACAAATTAGAAATTATTTTTTGTATTTTGATTATTTTGAATTACATGACACCTTTTTTTCAAGGTTCGGCAAAAATCGACACCGGCAATCTGACTTTCGGGCCCACTCGGTTTAACGAACGTTTACGGATAAGGTACACGCAAAGACCCGCTAAATAACGTGACACGTAACACGCTATTTTTGGTAAAAAGAAACTGCGTATGCGCAGCTGTCAAATCTTACGTTAGCGTTAACGTATTTTGTCTAACTTAAAGTGTCTATTGATTTGATTTTCAGTAAATCAATAAGCAAAGAATGAGGTTCCGTCCCAAAACACAAATAAAACAAACTGATTTTCTTCTTTCTCATGACATTCGTCCTTTTAACGCACTAAAATTGTGGCTAATTCTACATATTACTGTTGGCAACAACGCATTATGATTTGACAAGTTTTCTCTCATTCTATCATATTCCCATACTTTCGAGAATACCAACTTTGGCACCAAGAGAACGAGTGTGCGATGTGATATCTCACTTCTCTTAGGGGAACGTTCACTTCTACCAAATTCGAGAATCGACTACCTGGACGGCTATTCTCGAATCGTGTGATCCCTGTTCTCATAGGAAAAGTAAGAGTGGTTCTATCAAAATCTATTAGGACGCATTCTCGAAATTAGGGACCGTTCACTTCCTATGAAAGTTGAGAGAATTTTATTCTACTACTTTTTTTGAAGAGAACGTCTGTTCCCGGGAAAACCAAACGTCAAACATGCGCTTTTTGTCCCTTGTTGTTTGGAATTCTTGTACTGCATGATCTACTAGATGCAGAAG